GGTCAGGCTTATGTCATAAAAATCATATTTTTAGAAAAATAATAATGCTATTTCTTTTAAAGTTAGTTTGTTTATTGGGCATAATATATGACATAAACAGAAAGAAAAATGATCTTGTTGTTGACATTTTCACGATTGATTTTTTGCCATTTTTCAGACCAGGCCCTAATACTGGTAATCATAGCCCGTAACAATACAGTAAATTCACGTATTCCCTTTAATACGGAACAGTTTGTTTTTAAAATTTTTGATATTTAATGATGGGAAGATGTATAAAGAGCTTTAGATGTATTTGAATCATGAATGTGGGTTTACTTTTGAACAGGGTATTATCTGTCAATAAACTCATATATGTATATTTATTATGAATGAATAAAAGGAGATAAACTCTTTAATTTGAGTCTTTTATTTGACTTATCACCATTATTTGGTAAGGATTTTACTATTTAAATTATTACAAGCAAATACAAATATATGAGATTATTTGTGCAAACACACTAACTGTTTAAACTTTACAGTGCATTAGTAATAATCTCATAAAAAAGATTAAATTTGTATGAAACCATCCCTAACAATGCAGATTTACTATAAATAAACTCATAAAAAGATTAAATTTGTTTACAATGCAGATAGCCATATTTGTTGTTTTAATATTGATGTATGGATGATCAGAAGGCGGAGTTTCTCATGCAAACGGAAATTGAACTTCCACAATAAGGTTTCAGATTTTTATCCTTTGGTTGTCTTGACACCAAAGTTAGATCTAGAGTTGATACGAAAACCAATTTATTTATTTATGAAATGTCGCTATTTCTGTTTTTTTTTATGAAATTGAATAAATGCACCTTTATCATTAAAGGGTTAACATAATTTCCACTAAGTAAATATATTTTTACAGATGTTTAAACAGTTGCTTAATTGTTCCTTTCTTTCTTTTTCAACAGTGACAACCACCTGGTACTAGCAGAAAGCATCAACAACAACAACACTGTTGAGCAGAGGTACAGATACAATATGTGACAGTGTGTGTGAAGAAATATGTTGTGATTTGTACAAGCATATGCGAAACCACTCTTGAGAGAAAACTATTGCTTTGCAAACATTATTTTTACAAACCAGTGACTTTAAGTTTGGTTTGTGAATATTCCTATATTGGAAAATGCGAACTCAAAGTTATGAAGATATTATTTTATCAATCATTGTAGAAAATTATTAACCTCAAAATACACTTGTCAATACTGTGTGTCAGTGTGTTTTAAATCATTTCCTTGTAGATTCAATCTTTAAGTATATATAACAATGTTGACTACTGAGGAAAATTTCAGATGCAAAATATGTGATTGCTTACTTGCGGATAGCAGTAGTCTAAAAACACATATGACAATTCACACTGGTAAAAGGAATTATGAAAAATGCAATATGCCACCGTTCATTTTCGCAAAGTAGTCATCCTAAAACACAAAGATCAATACACACTGAAGATATGAATCATGAATGTGAAATATGTGTACACAAATGTCATCTTAAAAAGCACATGAAAAAATACACTGGTGAAAAGAACTATGAATGTGAAATGTGTGAATATTCCACTTTGCACAGAAGTAGTCTTAAAATGCACATAAGAGTACATACTGGTGAGAAGAATTATAAATGTGAACTTTGTCACCGTTCATTTTCACAAAGTGGTAATCTTAAAACACATATGACAATACACACTGGTGAGATGAATTATCAATGTGAAGTATGTCACCGTTCATTTTCTCATAGCAGTAATCTTAAAAGACATATGATAATACACACTGGTGAGAAGAATCATGAATGTGAAGTATGTCATAGTTCATTTTCTCGAAGTGGGGATCTTAAAAGACATATGACAATACACACTGGCAAGAAGAATCATAAATGTGAGGTATGTCATAGTTCATTTTCTCAAAGTGGAGATCTTAAAAGACATATGACAATACATACTGGCGAGAAAAATCATAAATGTGAAATATGTCGACGTTCATTTTCTCATAGCAGTAATCTTAAAAAACATATGATAATACACACTGGTGAGAAGAATCATACATGTGAAATATGTCATAATTCATTTTCTCGAAGTGGAGCGCTTAAAAGACATATGACAATACACACTGGTGAGAAGAATCATAGTCTTAGATGTGAAATATGCCATAGTTCATTTTCTCAGAGCAGTAATCTTAAACAACATATGACAATACACACTGGTGAGAAGAATCATGAATGTGAAATATGCCATCGTTTATTTTCTCAGAGGGCTCATCTTAAACAACACTATGGCAATAACACACTGGTGAGAATAATCATAAATGTGAAATATGTCATAATTCATTTTCTAAGAGCAGTAATCTTAAACAACATATGACAATACACACTGGTGAGAAGAATCATAGGTGTGAAATATGTCAAAATTCATTTTCTCGAAGTGGAAATCTTAAAAGACATATAATGACAATACACACTGGTGAGAAGAATCATAAATGTGAAAATATTCCATAATTCATTTTCTCGAAGTGGAGATCTTAAAAACATATTACAATACACACTGGTGAGAAGAATCATAAATGTGAAATATGTCATAGTTCATTTTCTCAGAGCCACCAGCTTAAAAGACATATGACAATACACACTGACGTGAAGGATCGAATCTTTTAAAGGGTCGTCAAAAGCCGATATAGCATATGAATATCCCATACTAACAAAATTATATATAAATGCAAATATTGCATCTTCCAGTGCTCCCAACAGTTTGTGAGATGAAAAAAACATACGATAAGGCATAAAAAAGAGAAACTTTATAAATGTGATACATGTGATAAATTATTTTTTAAGGAAAAAAAATCTTGAATTGCACGTTGAGAATGCACATTTAAAGTAAGACAAAAGTGGGGCATCAAACCGTTTTAAGCACTATATCTATCATGCATATCGTATGAAAGGCTATTAACTCTGGTATACTGCTGAGAACCGGAAGACATAAAAACACAGCAAAAAAAAAAAAAAAGAAAAGAAAAAAAAACAGGTTACACAAATTATGTACAGTACTAAAAACTGTTGAATTTGAATTTAACATTCTTCTGTTTTGTGTTAGGTTTGAAGATTTACCATATAGATAATTAGGGGCAATTTTTTGCATACAAATGTAAATTTACTATGTATACTTTTCTTTAACCTCTGTTATTATGTCACAAATTTCCTCGTCTTTCCATTTGTATTAGTATGATTTTTGTTTGTTTGTTAGAATAGGTTTTACGTCACATCGACACAGTATAGGTCATATCACGACGTTCCAGCTTTACTGGTGGCCGAAGACCTCAGGTGTCCTTCTGTGCATTATTTTAGGCACGAACGGGCACCTGAGTAGAACCACCGACGTTCCGTAAGCTAGCTGGATAGCTTCCTCACATTAAAGAATCCAAAGTGCCTGTCGGGATTCGAACCCACATCGGTGAGTGGCAAGTGGTTTGAAGTCAACGACCTTAACCACTCGGCCACGGAAGTATAATTTGTAAACCAAAGACAGTTCCTATACAATTTTGATTTGTATACCAAAGACAGTACCTATACAATTTCCTGTTTTTCCACATCTTTTATATCTATAATTGTAATATATTATAATTATCATGGTTTACACGTGTCCAAAATATGTAACATTCATTATCATGGTTTTACTTGTCTCCAAAATATAAATCTTTATTTTCTCGGTTTACTCGTGTCCTAAATATGTAATTAATTGTTATTATCGTGGTTTTACTAGAATTCAAAATATGAAATTGTTATTATCATGCTTTTCTCATCTTTTAAATTTTTATTGTTTTGTCTTATGCTTCGCTAAGTAATGGATACAGTACGAGTTTTTCTTCAAAAGTATCTTCTTACAGACATAAGAAGACAGTTTGCTAGGATAAACAACAAATTGTCCGAGGCGAAGCCGAGGATAAATTGTTGTTTGTCCTAGTCTGTAAGAAGATACTTTTGAAGAAAAAACGAGTAACTGTATCCGACTTACACGACGTTTAAGTAAAAAGAACAGATCAATTAATAACCACATTTAATTATGAATAAATCTAATTTAAATTAAATGTATGTTCAGGTTGAAAATATAAAACTAGAGAAAATATTTGCATGGCCTTTTAGCTTTTGTAAGCAAATTGTATTCGCACGGAATTTTCGTGCGCTTATTTCAATTGGACAGAATTCACTTTCATTCATGATAAACACTGTTAAAATGGCTGCCTTTATCAGAGAGATCTTTTATGTCATTCAACATTGAAACCGTTTCTTTTGCGTCAATGATATATGGATAACGTTTTGGACCCCAAATGTGGTAAGTTTCCTTATTCACATGCTTAGCTTAATGCAATTATCAGCTGTATATGGCCGATGATTTGTGTGTGTGTGAGGGGGGGGGGGGGGGGTGCTGGCCATAATGGCCATCCAATTTATTTGATTCTGAATTTACCTATATGGGTTGCGCTATCTGGTTTGCGTCAGTTTCTATGGTGTCCTGTTTGAGGCAGTTAAAATATCGCCTGTTACGATTTAAAATTGACTAAATCTCTTGTTTAAGCTCGACTACTTACAAAATAGGAAGAGCTATTGTAATTGTGAATTTTGACAGAACTACGGCAATTTTTGAAGATAAAAAATTCTTCATTATTCTGAGGCTCTTTGTTTTACTATCAAGCACTGAGACTATAGTCAAACGCACTGGCTCATGTTAATAGATAAGTTAGGGAGATTTAACATTCTCGTCCGAAGACTTTTCACTATTGACACTGGTAATAAGTTAAAGTTCTCGAAAGAAACATGCGAAAATTAAGGTTAAAGCTGCTTGCCTAAAGATTAGTCAAAATATTTCAATAAAATCAAACATCAGAAATGTGTACTATAATATAAGGAAAAGTAAAATGATGCAAGATTCAAGTAATACATGTTTTACAAGTTATGTGCGGTTAAGGACAGATTTTGCAGTATTCACAACTATATTTATATTGCGTTACTAACGCAGTAAAGCATATTTTTGCATATTTTGACCACTTTTTGGTAATTTACGTGAGCTGTAAGTGCCATTGATAATGTGTTATTTGCTTCCTTTATATTAAACATTCAAATACATTTTCAAAATTTTCATGAAAATTAGCATGAATCTGGAGGTGTGCTGCTTGATTCATCGCGAAGATTTTTACATTTTGATTTCGCACCAGGATTTAAATATGAGAAAGTATAAGCATGAGACAAATTCAACGTTGTACATATAGCGCGACAAGTTTCTTGCGAGAATGAAAAATATTGCCACTTTTTCAATGAAAATACAGAAAGAGGAGTAAGACTTTAGAAAAAAATATCGATCATGTCAATAGGAGACCTTCAACTGGCCAAAGCGGGACACCGTATTTTTTAAAAACACACAAAAAAAACCGGGGATTTTTAAAAATTGAAGTATACAAGCCCCATGATTATCTATTCACGCGTTTGGGTTAGTAAAAGCGTAAATATTTGTCTTTTTCGAAACCCGTGTATAGTTTTTTAATGAAAAAAGTATTGGTCAGACTTGTGCACGAGTTTTACGTGCTTTGAAAAAGTGTAGTTTTTAAAAGGGTTTTTGTGTATAAAAATTTTCATTTTTACCAGACAAATTTCAGAAACAAAAAAACATTTAATTCTTTTTACGGGCCGGGAAAAACCCCCCACTTTTTTTAAAAGCAGCCATGCGGGGATCAGAAAAAATAAAACCTTTCTTCAAGCAGGGAAAGAATGATATTTTCCAAAATTTGGCAAAAATTTAAAAACCTCTCAAAAAAAATTTTCTCTCAAGTTTAAAATATCGAGGTTTCACCCAAGATTTTGGCCCCGTCGAACGAAAGTTCCCACTTTCCGAAAAAAGGGGGAAAATAAAAGGGAAAAACACAAGTAAGGGCCTGTTCTTGAACTTAAAGGAAAAGCAGATGGTTCCCCTTCAAGACGCTTTTTTAAAAAGGGTTTCCCCATGTGGGGAAAATTACTTCAGCGCAGAAAAAATTTGGTCAAAGGGTTTATTGACATTCAAATTTCATAGAAAAAAAAGTTGAAAAAAGGTAGCGGGAATTCGTCCGGTAGTGGGGGGCCCGGGGGTTGGGGGCCCGGGGGAATGCAAAGGGGGAAACCCTTTTTAGCTGACAAATTTTCGACGAGGGAAAAAAGAAAATTTTTTTCAGAGTAAAATAAAAGGGCAGTCGAAAGCTGAAGCGGGAAAAAAACGCCCCAGAATTTTTCCCGGTTTTTCGCCTTTCCAACGAAATGTTTTTTTATCAGAAAAAGGATTCGTCTGCTCCCAACGCCCTCAGTCTCCGGGGAATAACATCATGGAAAAAAGTCTAATCCAGGGAAAAAAAACCGGGCACCGGGTTTTCCGTTGGGGGTTTAAAACCCAAAGGGGCCGTATTCATAAAAAATCTTAATGAAAATTTTTTCCCCTTTAAACCCCCGAATTTTTCCCCTTAAAAATCATACTTTTTTTCCCTTAATTTTTAAAGGGGAAAACTTAAGTCTTTTTTCTTTTAAAAAATTTTTTTAAGCCCAAAATTTTCCCTTAAATTTGTCGAATTTCTTCCTTAATTTTTAAAGATACCTCCTATGCCCCCCTTAAAATTTTTAAAGGGTTTTTTTAAAGGGGAAAAATTTTTATGGGGGAAAAAAAAATGGCGCCCAAAGCGTTAGCTCTAACCAAATTTGTTTTTCTGAAAAGCCCTTTTTAAAAATGTTTTTAAAAAAGGTGGGGAGAATTTTTAAAAAACAAACCCCTTTTTAGACTATTCCCAACTGCCCTTTTTTTATTTACCCGTTAATAAAAGGGCCGGGGAATTTTAAACCGTACTTTTCCGACCCCTTTTAGTCATAAATTTTTCCCCCTTTGCCCATTTTTCACGTAAATTTAATTTTAAATTTTAAAATGTAAAGACCCCGAATGGGCAAACTTTTAAATTTTTAAATTATAATATAAGGAATATTTTAAAGGATGATGTGAGTTTAAAAAAAACCCCAGACGAAAAAATTTTTTTAATAAATTTTTTACCAGGGGTAAAGGGTAAATTTTTATTCAATATAAAATTTCCCAAAGTTTTCGGATGTTCATTCCCCCCGGGTTTATATTTTAAAAAATTTGGGGGAAAAAAAAGTGTACATAAAAGGGAGTGATGGTTGTTTTTAAAACTTAAAAAAACAATGTAAAAAAAAATTTAAAAATATAAAAGCTTTTAAAAAGGAAACACTTGAGGGTTTTTTGGAAAAAGGGGTTTGAAAGTTTAAATACCCTGGATTTTTGTTATAAAAAAAACTTTTTAACCCATTTTAAAAATCCATTCCACTTTGTACTAAAAGGGAATTAAAATAGACTAAAAAACTAACAAAAAGTTAAAAAGTTTTGGGTCCGGGGGGGAAACCCAAACAAAAGGGGAAACCCTAGTTTGAAATTTTTACATTCTTTAAAATTAAAACCAAAAAGTTTTAAAGCAAATATGTGGGAAAAGCAGGGGTGACACTATAAAAAACTTTTAAAAATTGGGTTTAAAAAGTCAAAAACAACTGAAAAATTTTTAAAAAAATTTTTATTTAAAAAAACCTATTCAAAGGGAAATTTTTTAATTTTTAAACTTTACTTT